CCCCTCTTCTGAGGGATGTTAGTCTGTGCCCTACTTCCATGTTTCTGGGTCTACCGTATTCCTCAGACTCTTATGTTCATTTTATTCCGTATATAAGTGAGATCACGTGGTATTTGTCTTTTTCTGCTTGGCTTATTTCACTTAGAATAATACTTTCCAGGTCCCTCCATGTCGTCTCAAAGGATAAGAGATCTTTCTTTCTTAGAGCTGTGTAGTACTCCTTTGTGTATATGCACCACTGCTTCTTTTATCTATTCGTCTACTGATGGACACTTGGGCTGTTTCCAGATCTTAGCTATTGTAAATAGTGCTGCTATGAACATGGGGGTACATATATTCTTCCTGATTGGTGTTTCAGGCTTCTTAGGGTATATTCCTAGAAGCGGGATCACTGGGTCAAATGGAAGTTCAATTTTTAATTTTTTGAGGTAACACCATATTGTTTTCCATAGAGGCTGCACCAGTCTGTATTCCCACCAGCAGTGTATTAGAGTCCCCTTTTCTTCACACCCTCGCCAACACTTGTAGTTTGATGATTTGTTGATGGTGGCCAATCTGACAGGTGTGAGGTGATACCTCATTGTTGTTTTAATTTGCATCTCTCTGATGATTAGTGATATTGAGCATTTTTTCATATGTCTCTTGGCCATTTGTATGTCCTGTTTGGAGAGGGGTCTATTCAGCTCCTCTGCCCATTTTTTAATTGGGTTGTCTTCCTTTTGTTGAGTTTTATGAGCACTCTATATATATTGGAAATTAACCCCTTTTCTGATATATCATTGGTAATGATGTTCTCCCATACAGTGGGTTGCCTTTCCATCTTGATGATTGTATCTTTTGCAGAGCAGAAGCTTTTTAGTTTGATGTAGTCCCATGTGTTCATTTTTTCTTTTGTTTCTGTTGCCTTAGGTGATGTATCAGTGAAAATTTGACCTCCTTTTTGTTTCTTTTCTTTCAGGAAATATTTCTCTTTCTGGTTTCATTAATGATCCTGGGTGCAAAACAAATGAAATTACTAGTCAAATTAACCACTAGAGGCACAGATGCCTTGAAGGTCTAATGATGTCAAAGGCTCCATTTGCTCTAGCCTTGTACCTCTAAAATAGTATTTGATCTAACTAACAGAGTAGATAAAACAGCACCTGTATGCAATGCACCAGTTCATTTGTGCTTATAGGTACCCCAAATACCAAACTTTAGAGTATTGACATTGGTTCTCTGATACTCCTTTGTGTAGATGAAATTTTTCTTTTGATTATGGCAATATAATGCTAACATTCACAGAATCAAATAATATCAGAAGTGGAAGAAATCTTAATCTTGTCCTATGTAAACTAAACTTCCCTGATGATGTGTCATTTATGTTTATTTACATATGTATTTGTATGTATACACATACATACACAAACACAAATTTACAGGTCTTTCCCTTGAAAATTTATCTCTAAGAAACTGTTTTTAAAATTAAATTTATTAGGGTACATTGGTTAGTAATATATACATTTCAGATGTACAACTTTATAATGCAATATCTGTATACCCTATTGTGTGCGTTCACCATCAGAAGTCTAGTCTTCTGTCACCTTGTATTTGATCTCCTTTACTTTACTTTCCTCCCCCAGCCTCCTTCCCCTCTGGCAACCACCATTCTCTTGTCTGTCTGAGTTTTGTTTTGTTTTGTTTTGTTTATTCATTTATTGCTTTTTGGGTTATAGCCTACATATGAGTGAAATCATACAGTTCATATCCTTGTCTTATGTCATTTAGCATATAATCTCAAGATCCCTCCATGTTGTCACAAATAGCAATATTTCATCTTTTTCACAGTTGAGTAGTATTCCATTGTCTATATGTATATTTTCTCTATCCAATCATCCATTAAAGGACACTTAGATTGTCTCCATGTCTTGGCTAAATAATGCTGCAATGAACATAGGGGTACATAGATCTTTATAAATAAGTGTTTTCAATTTTTTTCAGGTAGAAACCCATAAGTGGTATTTGTTGGTGAAATAGTAGCTCTATTCTTAATTGTCTGAAGAACCTCCATACTGTTTTCCATAGCGGCTGCACCATTTTACATTCTCACCAGCCATATATGAGGGTTCCCTTTTTTCCTCTTCAACACTTGACTTATTAATAGTAGTCATTCTAACAGGTGTGAGTTGATATCTCAGTGTGGTTTTGATTTACATTTCCCTTATAATTAGTGATATTGAGCTTTTTTTTTTTTATTTTTCTAGTGATATGAGAGAGAGAGATAGAGAGAGAGAGAGAGAGAGGCAGAGTGAGAGAGAGATAGAAACATCGATGAGAGAGAACATCGAATGGCTGCCTCCTGCAGATATTGAGCATTTTTTGATATATATGTTGACCATCTGTATGTCTTCGTGGGAAAAGTGTCTATTCAGGTTCTCTGCCCATTTTTGGAATAGTTTATTTTTATTTTTTTCTCTCTGTGTGTGTGGTTGAGTTGTATCAATTCTTTATATATTTTGGATATTAGTCCCTTACTGGAGGTATCATTTGCAAATATCTTTTCCCATTTGGTTGGTTGCTTTTTAGTTTTGTTGTTGGTTTTGTTTTCTGCACAGAAGCTCTTTAGTTTGATGTAGTCCCATTCACTTATTTTTGCTTTTTCTTCCCTTGCTATTAGGGTCAACATCACAGAAACCCCTCTGAAACCAAAGTCCATCAGTTTAGTGCCTATGTTTTCTTCTATGCATTTTATTGTTTCATGTCTCATATTCAAATCTTTAATTCACTTTCAGTTAATTTTTATGTATGGTGTCAGATGACAGTCTAGTTTCATTCCTTTGCATGTGGTTTCCTTCCCAGTGTTCCCAACACTATTTATTGAAGATACTTTCCTTTCTCCATATATAGTCTTGGCTTCTTTGTTGAAAATTAGTTGCCATATACATGTGAGTTTATTTCTGGGATTTCAATTATATTCTATTTGGTCTGTGTATCTGTTTTTCTGCCAATACCATACTGTTTTGATTACTATAGATGTATAGTATAGTTTGAAGTCAGGGAGTGTGATACTTTTGACTTTAAGAACCTATGTTTTTAACAAGAACCTCTAATAATTTTTATGACAAGGGTTTGGAAAACACTGGTTTGAAATCCTTCTCCTAGTCTAGCCTGAAGAATATTACAGAAGAGCTCACAAGGAACAGGACAAGGATCAGAACTCCAGCATTCCAAGGCCAATTCTAGAGTCCTTTCTATCATATCGATGTACTTCTTATTCCCTATCATTTTTGCTAAGTTGGAATCAGATATAAAGGTAAAAGAAAGATGAAAAAGAAAAGCAACTCCTGGATAGATTTGAGCACAAACTCTTCAGAGACAAAACAAACAAAACAGATAAAAATGGAAAAATCTAGCTCAACTGATGTAGCTCAGTGTTTGAGCATCGATCCATGCACCAAGAGGCCACCAGTTCAATTCCCAGTCAGGGCACATGCCCAGGTTGTGGGCCAAATCCCTAATCGGGAAAATGCAGGTGGCCAATTGATGTTCTCTCTCATCGATGTTTCTATCTCTCTCTCCCTCTCACTTCCTCTTTCTCTTAATGAAGAAAAAAAATTTTTTAAATTAAAAAATCTAAAATATCAGTGATAAGAATAAAAACATTTGTGGCCTCATTGTTTGGCAGTATTTTACAGTCATATAGAAAGGAGACTGATGCTTTAAAATGACAGATACTAATATAGTCAGAGAGAAAAGGCAAATATGGAATTAAAAGAGAACATGTGTTTAACAGGTATATGAATATAAAATCCGCACACACACATTAATTAATTATATTTCAATTCAGCAAAAGCAAATAGAATGGGGGATTTAAAAATAATATCAGTGCCCAGCTGGTGTGGCTCAGTGGTTGAGCGTCGACCCATGCACCAAGAGGTGGTTAGTTTGATTCCTGGTCAGAACACATGCCTGGGTGTGGGCCTGATCCCCAGTGGGGGTAATGCAGGAGGTGGCCAATCAATGTTTTCTCTCATCAATGTTTCTATCTCTCTCTCCCTCTCCCTTCCTCTCTGTCTAAAATCAATAAAGAAAAAAAAATTAAAAATAAATAAATAAAAAAATAGTATCAGCCATAATAGCATAAAAATACCTGGAATAAATCTAATGAAAGATGTTCAAGACCTGAACACTAAACAATATAAAATGTTATTAAAAGAAATTTTAAAATATCTAAATAAATGGAGAGACATACCATGCTCATGATTTGGAAGGTTCATATTGTAAAGATGCCATTCACTATTCCGCAAATCAACCTATCATTTCATCACAAAATCTCTACAGGTTTTGTGAATGTAGGAAATGACAAGTTGATTTTTAATATTTGAGCTTGTTTTAGTTAAGTAATAAATGATGTAGTTGTGATTCTCATATAAGTATTGATGAATAAAATAGAAAAAAGTAAACATACAGATTAGCTGAAGGAAGGTCAGAGAAAGTAAGAGAAAAAGTAGAAGTGGTTCAAACAAAAATTTACGGATTGAAAAAACCACAGAAATCTCTATGGTAAGAGGTGAAGTTGAATAAAAATGTTTTTTCAGGCCCGGTTGGTGTGGCTCAGTAGATTGAGTTTCTTTCCAATCACCAAGAGGTTGCTGGTTCAATTCCCAGCCAGGACACATAAGTTAAATTATAACTTAATTTTGTCTAGAATTAATATATTTTCAACAAAAAATTAAGAAATATGAGATTGAAAAGGCACAGAGATATATTTAAAATCACAGAATTTACTATAAATCCATAGTTTTGACATTTCACAATTGGAGACAGCAATGTGGTAAAACGCAGAACTGAACTTGAACACTAGAAAAACTATCTGCCACTTGTTAACTAACAATATGTGGGCAAGTTACTAAGCTCTGGGTCTTATTCTCATCTTTAAAACTTCAAAAAATTTTTTTAAATTAAAATAAAACACATAAAAATGCTGGTTCTCATAAAAGGTTAAAAAATGTAACATCAACTGAAAATTCTGAATCAAATTTAGTTTCTTTTATCATTTAAAGTTACAGCATATTTTCCTCAGTATTAGGAATTTTTATTCTTAATATAAAACAAGTCATCACACGTCTTGTATATTTCATATTTATAGCTGAATGTTTCTTCAGTCATCAGTGTCACTTCCTGATTCACTCAGCTGCAAATCATTTCCTAAAATAAAAAATAGCAAAATTGAATTAAATAGTTAATATTTTAATATTTAGGTTTTTTAAAAAATCTTTATTGTTGAATGTATTACAGATTCATTCCCTCATTTTTCCCCCATTGACCCCCCTCCTCCCCACTCCCAGCCCCCTCCTGCCTTTTCCCACACTGTAGTCTGTGTCCGTTGGTTATACATATAAGTTCTTTGGTTTATTTCTTCCCACCCCACAACCCCCTTCCCTTTGAGGTTTGTCAGTAGAGCAACCAATTTGTACTTCTTAATCCCTTCACCTTTTTCACCCATTCCCCCAACCCCCTTCCCATCTGGCAACCAACAAAATGTTTTCTGTATCTATGAGAATGTTTCAGTTATGCCTGTTCATTTTGTTTGTAGATTCCATTGTCGATAGATATGTATTCATTGCCATTTTGTTTGTTCATATATTTTATCTTTTTCTTCAAAAAGACACTTCAACATTTCATATAATAATGGTTTGGTGGTGATGAACTCCTTTAGCTTTTTCTTGTCTGGGAAACTCTTTATATGGCCATTGATTCTAAATGACAGCTTTGCAGCATAGAGTAATCTTGGTTGTAGGTTCTTGCTTTTCATCACTCTGAATACTTCTTGCCACTCCCTTCTGGCCTGCAAAGTTTCTTTTGAGAAATCAGCTGACAGCCTTATGGGAACTCCCTTGTAGGTAAATAACTGCTTTTCTCATGCTGTTTTTAAGATTCTTTCTTTGTCTTGAACTTTTTGCATTTTGATGATGATGCGTCTTGGTATGGATCTCTTTGGGTTCATCTTGTTTGGGACTCTCTGTGCTTCCTGGACTTGTATGTCCGTTTCCTTCACCAAGTAAGGGGAGTTTTTCTGCCATTATTGTTTCCAATAGGTTTTCGATTTCTTGTTGTCTCTCTTCTCCTTCTGGCACCCCCAAGATGCGAATGTTGGCACGCTTGAAGTTGTCCCAGAGGCTCCTTACACTATCCTCATTTCTTTGGATTCTTTTTTCTTTTTGCTGTTCTTTTTGGGTGTTTCTTGCTTCCTTATATTCCAAATCAATGGTTTGCTTCTTGGCCTTACCTACTCTACTATTGAATCTGTGTAAATTATTCTTTATTTCAGTTACTGCCTCCTTCATTTCTGACTGGTCCTTTTTTGTGCTCTTGAGGCCCTCACTAAGTTCACTGAGGTTCTCACTAAGTTCATTGAGCATCCTTATAAGCAGTATTTTGAACTCAGCATCTGTTAGGTTGCTTATCTCCATTTTGCTTAGTTCTTTTCCTGGGGTTTTGTTCTCTTCTTTCATTTAGGACCTGTTTCTTTGTCTCCTCATTTTGGCTGCCTCCTTGTGTTTGTTTCTATGTATTACTTAATGAGAGGCATGGGGCTAGCTGAGACCAGATGCCGCTTGTTTGAAAGAATTTAGGAAAACCTGAAGCAGGATCCAAGACAGCCAATCCTATGGTTAAGCAACTGGCAACAGCTTGGGTGGGCCTAAAAGTTGGGTGGGGTGGGGCCTCAGGGAATCACCAGGATGGGGCAACCAGTGTGAGCCAGGTTGCTGGAGTCCCAGATATGGTGGCTGTCTGCCGCCCCAGGGAAGGGCTCACGAAAGGAACAAAGGCCTCTGATAGCACGTTTGTCCAGGAGAAAGCCCCCTCTCCAGCCCTTGCTCCATTGCCAAACAGCTCAGTTCTTCCTTGTATGTCTCTGGCGCCCCTTGAGCTGCCTCCCCTCCAAGCTGAGAACGAATGAGTCCAATAAGTCCGTGCGCAGGCCCTTTAAGAGGAGCTGCCTGGGGCTCCAGCTGCCTCAGCCTCCCTGAACCTCAGTTCCTGCTGTTTTTTTCCAGCCAGAAGTTATGGAGACTTCTCTTCCTGGCACTGCAGCCCTGAGCGAGGCACCTGGTGTGGGATGGGGACCCCCTCAGTCCTCAGGGAGGACTTTGGCAGCTGAGGTATCCTCCTGATTTTTATCCGCCACACGTGGGTGTGGGACCAGCCAGTCCGCCTCCGCCCCTCCCACCAGTCTCGATGTGGCTGCTTCTTTAATTCTGTAGTTGTAGGACTTCCATTCAGCTTGATTTCAGGTGGTTTTGAATGATGGTTGTCCTGTAGTTTAGTTGTAACTTTGATGTGATTGTGGGAGGACACGATACCACATTTACCTACGTCGCCATCTTGACCGGCAATATTTAGTTTTTGATAACAAATATTATACAAAAAGTAATCCAAAGTAATCCTGTTTAGCTAACATTTTGTCTTTAAAAAATATTTTTTAATTGATTTTTAGAGAGAGAAGGGAAAGGGTGAAAGAACCATCAATGCAAGAACACAACAACAATCCACGGTCTCCTGCATACCCCCCATCAGGGATTGAACCCCAAATCCGGGCATGTGCCCTGACTGGGAATGGAACTTGCAACCCTTTGGTACATTGGACGAGGCACAACCAACTGAGCCACACTAGCCAGGGCTGTCTTTAATAATCTAGATTGCTGATCCTATAATATAGTCATATCGTTAGTAATTTAAATACTACTAACTGTAACGAATAAACACAACATTGATCTTCAGCATAGTTTTAGTATCACCTGGCTTCTATTTTAGTCTACTTTCACATACCAACACCACCCTTCTTTTTATACCACTTATTTAATTATATCAGGCAATGAGAGAAAATATGATTTAGAAGGTCAGACTGTATAGTTTTACAGAGTGAAAAAAATTATATAATTATTTTACTTAAAATGTCAAAATCATTACATAGTGTTTGTTAAGAGTAACTCATCATTGATTCCTTTTGTAATTCATCCATGTGATTATGGTCATGAAACTTACATTTCAGTGTGGAAAACAGGTGCAAATAAACAAATATATAAAATAATGTCAAATAGGTATAAATACTATGAAAAACTAAACATGGGTATGATAAGAATGGTGAGAAGTGCAACTTTAGGTAGGGTAGTGGTGAGAAGTCCCTCCTTGAGGGGTGACATTTGAATGGAGATACAAATGTAAGTAATCAAATTTTTAAAAAAATCCTCACCCGAAGATATTTTTCTATTAATTTTTTTTTTTTTTTTTTTTTTAGATAGAGTGGGAGGGAGAAAGGAAGGGAGACAGAGAGTGAAAGAGAGAAACATTGATGTGAGAGAGACACATCTGGAGATCTAAATATAAAAATAAAGTCACGAAAATATGCAGAGGGGTAACTGTCCAGGCTCAGGGAATAGCACATACAAATGCCTCAAAGTAGAAGAATGCTTGATGTATTCTCTATGAGAAGGTCACTGTGGCTGAAGTGAAATGAATGAGGAGAATGATAAGAAATGAGGTCAGAAAGATAATCAGAAGACCATGGTTTTTAGGTTATGATAAAAATTTTGAATTTTGTTTGAAATGGGAATTCATCGGAAAATGTTAAGCAGGCAACTGAACAGGACACTACTGTGTATCACTGAATAAACTATAATGGTGTGGAAGAAACATGGAATCAGGGAGGGCAGTTAAAAGTCTATTGAAATTTCTCACGTAAGAAATAATACTGGCTTTGACTCAGGTGGTTTAGGTGGAGGTGGTGCTAAGCGGGCAGATTTATAATATACTTTGAAGGTAGTAGAGTTTATAGGGCTATCACAAGCACTGAATTTATAAGGGCATGAGATAAAGTGAAAAAAATGACCCTCAAAGTTTCTAGTCTGAACAACTGAATAAATGACTGTATCAGTTACTAAACCTGTGGCAGGATAGTAAGAAGTTAGGAAAATCCCTGGGCAAGTGGAATGGGGAATTGAGATAAAAAAAATTAAACAAGGCCAAACAGTTTGGGCAACTTACAGCCAACTTGTGAATTGCAAGACCTTATCTTCCCTAACCAAGGACACTTGAGAGCAAATGGTTTATACCCTCCTCCCTAACCAAATATACATAGCTTAAATCACCCTGATCTGGGAAAATAGAAAACAAAGACCCAATTAATGCCATTTGTGCCAGCTAAACCCGAGGACAGATGAAGTTGAGGAACAAATAACAAAAACCCCATTAAAGCCAGATAGACTTAAGATAAAGGTAAAACAGTAACACAGACCAAAGAATAATCCAAAACTCCCAAATACACTCATTTTGATGCATCAGTATATTAAACATGCACCTGAAAAGCTGATGAATATTCTACTGAAACCCTCTCTCCCCTAAGACTCTTGCCTGCAGAAGAAAAAAAAAAAGGATAAAAAGCCCTTAGGACAAAGACTCAATGCGGGTTCACTCTAAAGCACTCCCATGCTCCTTCCCAGGCATGAACTTTTTATTCCTAAGGGTCCCCATGAGACTTGCAACCAGGGAAGCAGCAGGCAGCAGCAGTTCAACCTGGGCCCAACTCTCACCCCCACCCCCACCCCAGATCCTGTCTCCAAGGCTCTCTTTTCTCTGATTTCCCAGTGAGCTAAAGCAGCTCCGCCTGGCTCACTTCTTTCCTATAACAAAGCATTGCCTAGGCTCTCCCCTGTTGTTTCTTCTACCCTAGTTTTTTCCTTTGTTTCACTGCCCCAGAATTAATAAACATACTCTCAAAATCTTTCCTATACCAAGTCAAGAACCCACACTACAGGCTGGCCTGAGGCAGACCTGCTCTGGACCAGACCCTGTCTAGTAACAAGATGAAAAACACTAGAGCAGCTGTTCTCAACCTGTGGGTTGTGACCACTTTTGGGGGTCGAATGACCCTTTCACAGGGGTCACCTAAGACCATTGGAAAGCACATATTTCTGATCTTAGGAACCGAGACATCGCTCCTCTATCCGTCTCCAGGCAGACCCACCCACATGCAGATACGCCCACATACACCATGAGGAACTGTATTAAAGGGTTGTGGCTTTAGGAAGGTTGAGAACCACTGCACTAGAGGAACAAGACTATATAAGAAAAATCACAAGTTCAATTTTTGACATGGTACATTTGAGATACCTATTAAATGTTTAAGTATATCTGGTATAGGCAAT